GGAGGCTGGTCCCACCCCATAAGGCATCCATCCTCCCCTCCCGCCTCCTCTCCTCAGGACAGGCCTGAGCCCCCACCTCCAGCCCTTCGATGGGTACCTGGCTCCAGAGCCAGCAGGACACGGTGGCCTGGGACCCAGGTACTGAGGCAGGTATCGGCAGTTGCTTTGGGGCTGGACACTTGCTGGCTTTGAAGGTGCAGCTGGCGTTGGGCCCAGACCCCTCAGCTGAGAACAGGGCTGGGTGGTCAGGGCTGCGTTCACACTGTGTGTCTCTGGTGCTGAAGCCCACCTCTCTGCAGAGACCCCTCTGCCTGCCTCTCCCCGCTGGGCCACCTTGTCCCTGGCCTCAGTGCAGCTAGTTCCCCACTGCCCTTAGAGCTAGGTCACGCCTATCCCCCAGCTCTGGCTCTGATGAGTGGAGCCTCCCTGGGGCACAAAGAGCTGGGTGACGCCGAGGCCCGGTGCAGGCAGAGACTGCCAGAGACCGGAGCTCCATGTTCAGGGACAGTTTCTGGTCCCCAGGGTCCCTGGGCTACCAAAAGCTCCGGGGTCAATCCAGAGTCCCCAAATCCCAGGCCTCCTGCCCAGCCCAGTTCACACCACCAGCCCTGCATCCCTGGGGTCTGCTGGGCGCTTCTACCTCCTCCTCCATCCCAGCAAACTCCTATTCATCCCTCAAGACCCAGCCAGAGGCAGCTCCCCTGACTCAGGCTGACCTCGGCCTCAGCCTGTGCTTGTCCCCTGGCCTCCTGAGAGACCGCAGGGTGCAGGTGCTCTGCAGGCAAAGCCAGTGGCAGGCCTGGGTGTGGACCACCCTCTGTCCAGGCCTTCCTGCACCACCACAGGCCTGGCCCTGCTTGGGGCCCTGCGCCCTGAGGGGGATGAAGAACCCAGGCTCAGAGGGGTGCAGATAGCCAGGCACCTGTGTTCCAACAATGGAGCAGGCACAGAGCGGGAAGGAGCGAGGAGAGAGGACGGAGGAGTGGGAACACGGAGCACAGGGCACCGGCCCACTGGGCACCAGGGAGCTTTGGTTCTGACCCGGAGGTCACAGGAGGTGTGGGGTGGTGCAGAATGTGGGAGACCCCCTGACCGCCGTGGGCACAGGGGACGGGAGGCCACCCACGACAGCGAGGTCCCTGTGGGGGTTGGGGTTGAGGTCAAACGTGGGGAAGGTAGAATTTGAGGCCTTTGTAGACGGCCTTGGGCCTGGTGCAGGCTCATACCCTCCTAACCTCCCGCCCTGCCCTGGGGCCCCTCCCTGACATGGGGGAAGGGCCTGGGAGGTCGTAACCCTGGAATCACCCAGCCCCAAGCCTGCCACCCAGGAGATGAAAGGCCCTGCCCTTCTCAGGGCCCACATGCCCTTTGAAGGCTGTGGGAATGCCCACAGGGCAGGCGAGTGCCAGGCGTGAGGGTGCTGCTGGGGCCATGGCAGAGGCCCAGAGTGCTGCCCAGGCCTGCACCGCCTCCTGGCTGAGCCTGGCCAGCCTGCCCAGGCCACATTGTCATGCACTTCCCTGCTCTGAGGTGCCAACAGACAAGGGAATGGAAGGGGCCGGGACCCTGTCTCCCATCTGGACTGCCTCTAGAGGCAGGGGGCGGGTGTGGGGTGCAAAAGCAGGCCCGTTCAGGCCTTAGTAACCTGGGCTCAGCCACAGCCACAGGGCCCTGGAGGAGACCGACAGGGGCCCCTCCTCCACCTCCCTCCAGGTCCAGGGTCCGAGGACGGGTCTCCAGCCATCCCCTCCTCATCCCCTCCAGCATCCCCCTGGAGCACAGAGGCTCCAGCCAGAGCCGGGTCCCTCTTCAGGCCAGCGCTGTGGGGCCATGCCCTGCTCTGGCAGAGGTCGGCCTCCTGCCCTCACCCCGGGCTCAGGCAGACACCGCTGGAATGTTTGCCTTCCCTGTTTGCCCGGGAAGGGGGGGACTGTGAGCGCGGCCCCCGGGGAGGCCTGTCCGGCCCAGCTGGGTCCTCGAGGCCAGTCCCCTGGGGAGGGGACCCTCAGCTCCGACGGGGGAATTCCAGGGCCGTTGGCGACGCAAAAGGTGCTTCCTGCCCCCGACTGTCCGATGCCTGCTCCGGCCCCGGCGGCCCCGACTGGAAGACCCGAGCCCGGAGGCGCGCCCGCCCCGCCGCCCCCTCCGCCCTCCCGCCCGCTCAGGGGCTCCCCGCGCGCCTCGGAGATTATGCAAATCCCCGGCGGCTCCTTAATTAAATCCCTAACGAGGCGCTGGGGCCGGGCCAGGGGCGGCGCTGAAAGCCGGGGTCACGCTCCGGAGGGGCCCGGCCCGTCTGCGACCGGGGGGCTCCCCGCGCCCCTCCCGGCCTGGGAACTGCGGTGGAGCCGGAGGCGGCGGGCCTCCCCCAGCCTCCCCCAGCCTCGCCCCTCCTACCCCAGCCTCCCCCAACCTCCCCCCTCCTCCCCCAGCCTCGCCCAGCCTCGCCCCTCCTCCACCAACCTCCCCCCTCCTCCCCCAGCCTCCCCCCTCCTCCACCAACCTCCCCCAGCCTCCCCCAGCCTCCCCCAGCCTCCCCCAGCCTCGCCCAGCCTCCCCCCTCCTCCCCCAGCCTCCCCCCTCCTCCCCCAGCCTCCCCCAGCCTCCCCCAGCCTCCCCCAGCCTCGCCCCTCCTCCACCACCTCCCCCAGCCTCCCCCAGCCTCCCCCCTCCTCCCCCAGCCTCCCCCAGCCTCCCCCCTCCTCCCCCAGCCTCCCCCCTCCTCCCCCAACCTCCCCCCTCCTCCCCAGCCTCCCCCAGCCTCCCCCCTCCTCCCCCAGCCTCCCCCAGCCTCCCCCCTCCTCCCCCAGCCTCCCCCCTCCTCCCTCAGCCTCCCGCCTCCTTCCTGAGCCTCCCCCCCCTCGCCCCTCGCCGCTCCCCACTCCCCCCCCTTCGCCCCGCCCCCGCCCGCCCGGCCGCTCCCGGCCTCGGGGTCCCCACGGGGCGGCGCGCGCGGACCCTCCGGGAGCCGAGAGCTGGGGTCCCGGGCGCGAGGCCGGCGGGTCGGAGGCGGGGCCGGCGGGGGCAGCGGCCCCCCGCGCCCCGCGCTCCCCTTTCAGCCGCCTGTTGTTGGGCCAACAGCTCGGGCTGCGGCCGCCTGAAAGGCCGGGATTAGCGAACATTAGCGGCCTTTGAGCGGCGCCCGGGGCGCCCCTTCCGCCCGCCACGCCCGCGCCGGCCGGAGCCCCCCGCCCCGCGCCCCGCGCCCCGCGCCCCGCTCCCGACCCCGCGGCGGCCAGGAGCTGCCCTCTGTGCAGAGTGGGGCGGCCCGTGCCCTCGTGCCCTTCGGGGGGACCCAAGGGTGTTTTCCAAGTGGGAGGGGTGGCGCCCCCGCTAGGCCACTGCCGCGGTCCCCCAGCCCTCCCACCTTCCACCCCCACCGCACCCCACCCCCACTTCCAGCCCTTCCCCCCCTAGCCCCAGCACCGCCTCCTCCGGGCAGCCTGTGGGAGTTTCCTGAGCTCAGCCCTGGGTGTCTGGGTCCTTGCACCCTCCCGTCCTGGAAGCCCCGGCTCTGGGTTCCATAGGCAGGTTAGTACCCCTTCCCCGGCCCCCCTCTGGCTTCACCCTTTCTCTCAAAGTAATTTCTGGGCTCTGGGGCCAGAGGGGAGGCTGCTCCTGAGAGGTCACTGACCTCCGACAGAGCTGGGAGGGCTCACATTCGCCCTGTCCCGGGACACCTGGCCCAGATTACATTACAAAAAGGAGGTGTTGTTATTACCCTCGTTTTACAGGTGGGGAAACGAAGTGCAGGGAGGCGGCCCGGGGTCACCCCACATCAGGTGTGGAGCCGGAACTTGGCCTCAGCCCCAACACCCGGGATGTCCTTGCCGGTTCTCACCTGGACCCGCAGTCTCCAGGGCAGCCCGTTCAGGATCACTGCCGGCCCAGGAGCCCTGGGGCTCTGCACATCTGCCCAGCCCCACGGGGGTCTAGTGTTGGGGTCTCGGCCTGGACCACACGCGTGACTGGCCCTGCTGTGCCCAGGGGATGTCCTGGGCGGGGCTCCCCTCTAATCCTCTGTCTGTTCCTGCTCATGCTGGCCTGAGCGCAGCTCGACCCCTCACCGCCGCCAGGGACCCGCCTCCAGCAACCCAGCCACAGGGACACGTGCGCACACGCAGGCACACGCAGGTACAGGCACCCCAGCAGGCACCCCAGCCCCAGGAGAGTAAACATCTTCACCAGAGGAAGCAACAAGCTCTCTCCCAAGAGAAAAAATGTGGCCAAACCTGACCCAGGCAGGCCCATGAGGGGCTGGCTGGGGGCCCCATTCCTGCTGCCACCCAGAGTCACACTGGGTTCTGAAGTTTCGTGGTAAAACATTGACAGTCCCCTGCCTCCGACCCGCAGGCCTGGCACCCACACAGATGGCGTTCCAGGGCCAAGAGCATGGGACCAAGCGGGGAAAGAAGGCCTGGCCAGGTGGGCACCAGGCGGGCATTGTTGCTGTCCAGGTGGGCACCAGGCGGGCACCTACAGGTGCTTTTGCCCCAGCACATGTGCAGATGGGCTGCAGCCAGTCCCTGGAGGGTGGAATTGGCGGGCTCCCTCTGCCCCCCAGATGCCCACAGCACTGTGTCACCCGATGTCCCCAGAAAGTTCAGGACCCGCTGCAGGCAGGTGTGGCCCTGTGGGGCTTCAGGGGGCAGCCCTGGAGTAGGAGGCACCCATTGCATTCTACTGTGCCCAAAGCAGAGGCTTGGTGGGTCCTGCCGGCCAGAGTCCTCTGTCCCAGCCCCCACAGTCATGACCCTGAGCCCAGAAGCCTTATATTTGCTGGTTGGAGGAGTTTTTGGCCAGCTCTGACCCCCTCGCCTCTGGAAAGGCAGAGTCCTCTGAGTCCCCCATGGCTTCCGCTCTCCTAGCCAGGACAAGGACAGGCCTGGTTGGATCCTGTGACTGAAGAAACCACAGGAGCCTGGGGTTTGCAGCGGGAAACCCGATCAAGTAATGACAGGGTTGGTGTGGGGGCCACTGGCCCAGTGGGCCGTTCCACCATGGGGATCCCATGCCCTCCACCTCCCACCGACAGCAGGCGGCCGGCCAGGCCCATCCCTGTACCTTCGACCCTGGAACTTTCCACAGCTTCTGGGTCAGTTGGGCCTGCTCTTCTGGAGGCAGCCCCAGGAGGGGTGTCAGGCCGAGGGGAAGCTGCGCCCCATGCTTCAGCAGCCTGGCCTCTGTCTCATCCCCGGCCACCTCCAGGCGCAGGTCCCAGGTGAGGGCTGGGACAGCAGGGATATCAGGTGCACTGAGGAGGAACCATGGTCCCCAGGGGCTGGCAGCCCTTCGGCCCCTGAGACTTGGCTCAGCTGGGCCTCCCAGAGCACGGAGGAGCTGCCCCATTCAGGGTCTGTGCTGGACCCCTCAGGCCTCGTTTCTAGTACCTGGCCAGGCCTTTGGGCAGCTCCCAGGAAGCCCAGTGCAGAGGCAAAGGTGCAGGAGTTCTGGAGGGTTCCGCGGTGCCTGGCCACACCCCTGCACCCACAACCGTTTCCCACCTCCCAAGACACTTCCTAGCAGGACTATGTTTGCCCAGCTTCCTAAAGGGGAAACCGAGGCAGACACTGGCGTGCAGCAACTACCTTGGACCCCCTGGCAGGAAGGACCAGGGCTGATGAGGAGGGGAATACAGCTCCCAGCACTCGTGGGCTCAGGCTCCTCCACAGGTTGAGGCGGGAGGGCTCTGGGGTGGAACCGGGGCGGGCGCCAGAGCCTCCCTGGGCCCTGAGGCAGCCCGGGCGGGCAGCTTTAATTACCGCTCGCTGGGCCCATTGAGCCTCGTGCTAATCCGGGCCGCCGCCGCGGGCAGCCCAGGCGGGTGCCCCCTCCCCCTGCGGCCCGGGCACGGGGTCCCCGGGTTCTCACGTCCCGCCGGCCCCAATTAAAGCGAGCTCGGCGGGGCCGCTGCTGTGCTAATGAGCTCTGTGGGCCTCTGGGCTCTGTGCCGGGGGTGCAGAGCCGGTGGGGGTGGAGCTGGCTCAGAGAGGGTGACTTGGGACCATTCCTGGGAAAAAGCCCCAAAGACTCCCCCACTCTGTGCCCAACCCCCAGGATAAGCCCCTGACAGGGAAAAGCCCCGCACAGCCCAAAGCCCCACGGGGTCTGCAGGACTCATCCCGGAAGTTGGGACCCCTACCATGGGGCAGGGGCCGGCGGGGTGTAGCTTCCAGAGGACAGTGAGGCTGGGTGAGGGACACCGGCTGGGGTGGGGTGGAGTCTGCCCGTGGTCTCGGCTCCCTGAGGGCTTCCTCCCCGCAGGACGGTGATGGTGGTGGGCATCGGTGGCCTGGGGACAAAGGCCATTCGGGGCATGTTCTGGCATCCACCGGGGGCTTGACTCCTGTGGGACACAGAGCTGGGGGGGCCCTGGGCTTTTCACTCGGAGGAAACCTAACCCCAACCCTAACCCTGGGGACTGGGAGGCAAAGGGCAGGCGAGGGCCTCGGTCTGCACGGCCCGGGGGCTCCAGGCTCTGCAGCTCTCGGTGGCAGGGGAGCAGGGCCAGGGACATCTCAGGCCCACCTGGTCTCAGACTGCACAGGCAGCCCTGTGATGTCCCTGGGGGTTCTTCGCGTTGGCAAACCTCTCCCTGCCCAAGGCCTTCAGATCACTCGGGAGCTGTGACCTGAGCAAGGACTTGGGTTCGGGGTGAGACCTGGCCATGGTGACAGGAGGATTCAGGGCAGTGGGGGTTGGCACAGCACACAGGACTCTCCAGGGTGAGGAATTGGGGGGTCCCAGGGAGGGTTCCCGGCCAGACTGAGTGCCCAAAGGCCATGAGGACAGCGGGTGGGGCTGGGCAGGGGCCCTGTGTCTGCGGTGGTGCTTCCTAGCCGGGAGCACCCGTCTGTCTGCTCGCCCCACCTGGTGTACTGTGTGAGGCCGGGGAGTAGCCACCCCTCTCTGGGTCTTGTTGCCTGTCTGGAGGCCAGGCTGGGTGTGTGGGGACCCTGAGGGGCTAGAAGTGTGGGCTGGGACCCCTCCCCCTCCCCCAGCAGGCCGGTGCTGGGGCCTCGCGGTTTTGCTGGGGCCTCTGGGTCTGGCTTGTGGCGCAGCCCCGCCCCCGCCCTCCAGTTCTACACCGCGGCTTGGGGCCCCAGACTCCGAAGGGGGGTGAACGGGGGCCTTGGCAGGCAAAGGCCCCGGCTCAGCCCACAGAGGCCCAGAGAGGAGCCACTGGCAGTCTACGGGGGGGCTCGGAGCAGGCATGGGAGGCCCAGGAGCATAGGCCTCGGCTTCCTGGAGCCAGCAATGTGCACCCTGGTGCCTAACCTTCCCGACCTGTGGCTTGCAGGGGGTCTGGGGCCTGCTCAGCAGGGCACTTCCAGGGACTCTGCCCTGGCCCCTGTGTGCACTCGGACACACAGGCACACGTGTGCACATGCCTTGGGCGTGGGGCACACCCATGAATGCCAGGCCCCAGCCCCGGGAGGGGTCACTCGGAGGGGTCCCCTGCCTGGCCCCTGGCAGGGTCTGGGCTCAGTGGGTGTTTGTGGTGCCTGGCAGCTGGGGGGCGGGGGGCAGGAGTGTGCGGAGGCCTGCAGGCTGTGTGAGGGCTATTGGGAGAGCCAAGGTCTCCGAGGCAGGGTCAGGGGTGACTGTGACCAGCCAGCTCTCAGACTGGGCTGCAGGGATAGGGGCACTGCCCAAAGCCAGCTCCATGCCATGCAGAAGCATGGGTACCCACTCACCTGTGCCCAAAGATCTAGAGATGGAGAGACCTGGGGACGGCTCATACCCTCCCCACCACCCCAACTCAAAGCGTGGGGCACTCAGGCTACCACTGGGGCACCTGTGGCATCGCCCAAAGATGCCTGTGGCCCCTCCTCCCAGGGCTTTGAGGGTGACAGCGGCCCGGAGTCAGGCAGGGGCTGGGGGCTGGGGAGTTGGTGCAGGCCTCCACCTCCTTCTGACCTGAGCAAGGACTTGGGCTCCGGGGTGAGGCCTGGCTATGGTGACAGGAGGACCCAGGGCAATGGGGATTGGCATACATCCTCTCTGGTCATCTTGTTTGACTGGGGGATGAGGGGCCGGCTGGGTCCAAGGTGGCTTGTGTTCTGGAGAGGAAGGGACCGCTTGGGTCCCCCAAGCCTGCTCCGCTTCCACCCTATGTCCCCTCCAGGAAGTCTCCCTCCTGCTGGGCCCCCTGATGGAAGGCAGGAAGGGGGATTTTCACTTCCAACTGGCCCTCCCCTGGGCCCTGGCCCACTGTGCCCACCTCTCCGCCCGGCTCAAGCCGGTGCCAGCCCTTGTTCCCTGGACAGCCGGTGAGCGCTGAAGGTGTTATCTCTGACGGGAGCAGAATGGACATGTCGCGCCCAAAGCAGGTGTCGGCGCCTGGGATGGGGCCAACGGGAAACCCAACCCCGATTGACACCCCCCACCCGCTGCAAACCTGGCAGCCCCGTCCCAGGAGACGCAGAGATTAGCACGACTCTTTCCCCAGCTGATCTGCCCCAGATATGGGCAGGGGCCGGCATGCGGGGCCTGGAGCTGCCTCCAGAAAGACATGGGTACTGGAGGTTGGGTCAGGGCAGAGGGGGCTGGTGGCTTTCTGGTGTTGGTCTCCCATCTGCCGGGTAGCAGCATCTGAGTCTGTGGGGGCCCAATCTCAGATCCCAGCTCCCTTCCTGCTCAGATGGCAGCAGGATCTGGGTCAGGGTGGGGCCGGGAGGGAGGTGAGTTCAGGTTGGCTCATCTGGCTGTTCTCACACCCGCCTCCCTCTGGGCCTATCAGGCCCAGACGGTCCCCAGCGGGTGACTATGAGCAGCCAGCTCTCGAATTGGCTGCTGGCCTCCACCCGCCCTGGCCTCCACCTAGGGCCCTTCACTCCCCACCTGCCACCCACTTCGGCTGCTCTGGGAAGCTCCTTCCTGAGCCCTCAGCCCCAGGCCTCAGCCCCACCTCTCCTCCTGGTCCTCACTGCCTGGGATGGGCCCCGTGGGCGCCGTTGGCCCAGATGGAGGCTCCCCTCTGCCCTGAGGCTTTGCTCATGGGGGTATGGGCAGGTGCTGGACCAGAGCCCGTGTGTATTCTGACCCCCATGGCTGATTGTGGGTGATGGGGTGGTAGGCCTGGGACGGGAGAGTGGGGGACCTGAGGAGCGTGCATTCCAGCAGGCACAGATTCCGGTGTGTGCTGAGCTTGGGTCTAGGACAGTGGCTCTGGGCTGGAGGGTCCTGAGTTCGAGGCTGTGCTTGTGGCCCTCTCCTCCTCTGCACCGAGGTGGACACCCCCAGGCCCTGTATTGTCCTCTGACGTGACTCACCCGAGGCCCCCAGCCTCACCTGTCAACTGGAAGGCAGCTTCAGATTCCTGCGGGCATTCCTTCCTCCTTTCTCCTCCATTCGACCTGGGCTGCTTCCTGAACCCCACGTCCGATGGCAGCGTAGTTCCCTGGGAGAGAGGCCCTGGCCGTGTCCTGGATCCCGGGGGTCCGGGTTGCCCCTGATGAAGGTCTTTGCCCCGGTTGCGTGAGGCTCTGCGGGAGCTGCTGCTCTGTGGCCTTGTCTCCAGCCCCAGACTGTGGGGATTTGACCAGAAGCCCCCAGGCCCTCACCTGCCTGCCTTTTCCTCCCTACCCAGCTCCCTACCCAGAGCGCCATCTCCAAGGCCACACATCCACAGCCAGGCTGCCTCTCCCAGGCTCACCCCCAGGCTCAGCACAGCCTCTCGGCCAGGAGTCCAAACCGTGAGCCCACTGGCTACTATCGGCCTTTTCCAGACACTACAAAGGAACCCAGGCCCAGAATGACAATCTGCCCCGAAGAGGCGCAGGATGGGCTGACGTTCTGGACAGCCTCACCCTCCCTAGGCCGCCCGCAGATGCTAGCCTGAGCACACAGAGGGACAGAGCTTCAGTCTTATGCAGGTGCGTCTGGGGCCAGGTCAGAGGATGGGGCTGAAGCTGCCTGTGCTGTCGGGGTGGGCCACTTCTAAGCAGAGGTGAACCTTGCTAGCCTGTGGCCCAGCGTGGGGACATGGAAGGGAGAGGTCATGGCAGAACAGGGTTGCCTGGGACCCAACACAGGTCATCCAAGGCACAGGGATGCCCCTAACACTCAGGCCAAGGGGTGACTGGATCCCACAATGGCAGGTTGTCCCCCGAGGGCCTTGGAGGGGTGGATCTCCAGACAAAGGCAAGGACCAAGGGCAATACCCCAGAGGGAGCTGCCTCCAGGGGCTTAATTAGGAGCTCCTGGGCACCAGCAGGCCAGCCCAAGGGGCCTCTGATGCGGTGGCTCACACCTGTAATCCTAGCACTTTGGGAGGCCAAGGTGGGAGTATCGTTTGAGTCCAGGAGTTCAAGACTAGCCTGGGAAACATAGTAAGACCCCATGTCTAAAATAAATAAATAACCCAGGGGGCCTCTGAGTCCTGAGCTCTGCCCAGGCCTACAGCCGCCAGCACCCCCATGGACAGCCCCCAGCTGTAGATCTGGGGTCCTGAGCTCCCTGCACCTCACATCCTGGACAGTGGGGCTCCCTCATCCCTCAACCTGCTGCTCCCATGGTGTCCCTAAGCTTCCTGCCCTCACTGGCACCCTTGCTTCAGAGACCACAGTCTCAGTGGCTGAGAACCAGCCAGGAGTTCCCTGAGCCAGCCACAAAGCCGATCAGCCGTGGATGTGTGGACACTGGACAAACAGCCACAGGCCCTGTGCTCCAGCTGGGCCAACCAGGCCACTGACATGTCCTCGGCTGTGCCTCTGTGGCCCATGAATGGGCCGTGTCTATCTGGGCGGGCACTGGGCACTGGCAGGAGCTGGGATGCCGGGACAGGCAGAAGCCTCCCACTCCTTCCCAACCTCCACCAGGCCAAGGGCCCAGGATGTGGCACCAGGCCTTACCACAGGCACCCCGGTCTGTCAGCTGTTCTTCAGGCCTCCAACTGCAGCACGCCTCCTCCAGGAAGTCCTCCAGGAAAAAGTCAGTCCCTGCCTGCCAGCTCCATCAGGCCCGGTAGCCCCAGGCTCTGCGTGAGTCAGTGTGAAGTGGCAGAGGCCAGGCAGGGCGGTCCTGCCTGGAGGGAGTTCGGCCCTCGTTGTTCGTGGGGAGGGCTGCAGTGAGGGGTGACGGGATTCAGCCAAGTCCTTCCCCTTCTCATGAACATGCCTCGGCCCCAACAGCTCATCAGTCAGCAAATCCGTGTGGCTAGACCTTCCAGCCACACCTGGGCCCTGGCCACACCTGCTCAGGTCAAGGTGGTCTCCTCTCTCTGGGACCCGTACCCACTTCCTCCCAGTATCAGAGACCCTGCCGGCAAACCATCTTTTGAAAACCTTGCATAGATCACAGGCCTCTTCCACCAGCCCCCTGGGCCCCCATCTCTCTCCAATAAAAGTCTCAGTGGCAGCTCACGGTGGCCTCCTCCCGTCCGAGGGTCAACTTGGCTGGGAGCTCGCCCGGCCGTCCTCAACCTCTACCCTGGCCTCAGGGCCCTTGCAGGCTGCCCCCTGGGCCCTCATGGTGCAGTCTAGCGGTCACTGGGTGTCTCTAGCCCTGCCCTCACTGGCCACTGTGCAGGTGGCCTGGGCCCGGCTGCCGCGTGAGCACGGCGCTCATCCAGGCTGGGCCGGGCTGATGCCTACTCATGGGCGTCTGCCACTCCTGGAGGGCACACAGCTTGGGCCTGGGCCATGTGGCAGGGTGGGCGACAGTGCCTACAGTCCCTCCGTGGGTCTCCGGCCTGGCCCCCCCACCCACGAACACACACACCAGACTCTCCCCAAACACGAATCCATTCCATTTGTGCCATTGATTGTCTGCGCAGACAAAGGCCCCTTTCAGACATGTCAGAGGTTCAGCAAATAAATAAATGAATGAAGTCCTGGCGGAGGAAGGGCTGTGGGATGGACTGGGGAGCAGGCCGGTACCTCCTGTGGCTGGCCCGGCCCTCAGAGGGAGCCTGAGCTGGGCAGATGGCCCAGGGCATCAAGGGACAGGCCCCTACCTGGGGGCTGGAGCTGTGTTTGGGGGATTTGGGGTGTGAGAATGGGAGCCGGGGGTTTTGCATACATGGAGTTGGGGTGCCCTGTGGCACATCCTGGCCGCTGTGGGAGGGTAGACTCAGCGGCCCCGGGTCTGAGCCAGGCAGTGGTGGGGTGGCAGGTCCCCGTGTGTCCTCAGAAGCTGGGTACATCCCCACATTCCCCTTCCTGGGGTTTCTGCTTGGAGGCAGACGCAGAGACCACCCTTAGTCCAGGAGAGTAACCTACCCGGTGCATCTCAGCTCCACAGCATGTGATCTGAAGTTGGGGGCTCCCATGAGCTGCCTTCCACGTGGGAGGCTAGAGTTTCACCTCTCTTCCTGGGACTCCCCCAACTCCACAAGGCCAGAGCTCATGGGGACACGTGCCCCAGAAGGCTCCTCCCAGCCCTGCCTGGGTCAGACCCCCTGAGAACCCTGTGCTGCCCTCAGCCTGGACCTGAGGATGTTCCAGGGTGGGCCCAGCGTCCTACCCCAGCCTCCTCCACCAGTGGAGTCGGGGTACCCAGAAGCCTTGAGTGCAGCCCTGAGCTCCTTCTGCTCCCGCCCCCCTCCTGGGCCCCTGGTGGCTGCAGTGCAGCCCCTGGGAGGGCGAGGGCTGCTCCCCACAGATGGGACGGAACCAGCTGGTCTGGGAGATGGCAGGCCATGGGTGGGGCTCCCCAGTCACGTCCTAGCCCAGGCAGGGACCACGTAGGGGCGATCCACTGTCGTTTTCTCCAGGACAGAAATAACCAGAAAGAATGTGAGCTGGGCAGCCAGGAAAGGGGGGCTGGTGAGATCCAGGAGGACTGCCTGGAAGCAGGGGCTGGGGAAAAGGCCTATAGAGGTGGCTGGGCCTGATGGGAAGCTGGGTTGGCCACTCCAGTCCCACCCGGCCAAGCCCTCAGGGCAGCACTGACTCCTGGCCATTCTGGGTACAACAATGGCCGGCATTTAAATTCCAATTGAGTCGGCCAGAGTGGCCGCGGGCGTGAGAACGGGAGCCCCCACCCCCAGCCCGAGCCCCGCCCGCCACATTCCTGCCTCCCCGGAGATGGCCGTGGCCAGGGCCGTCGCCAGGGGGCCGGGAATGCGGAGCTCAATGGCTTGGGACAAGGGCCCATTGAGCGGTGACGGGCAGGATTGAGCCGTCAGCGCCCCCAACTCCGGACCCCTCCTCTGTCCCCGCCCCTCCCCCCAGCGTTCCTGGTGTCAGCTGCTCGGGGACCCTGCTGATAGCCTCCTGGGCTGGGCCCTGAGCAAGCGAGGGCCTGGAGCTGTCTGACTGACCACTGGCCTCCACCTCGCGTACCCTCGCCACCTGGCAGCAGAGGGGCCCCCCGAAAGCCTCTCTCCCCCCTTAAGCCTCTGGGGTTCCCTGATGCCCACAGGTGTCAGAGGCCATGCTTCTCCAGCCACAGTCCCCTGCCCTGCTTGGCCCTCCCCCCCGCCCAGCCCTGTCCTGTGGCACCCAAGAGGCCTTGCCAGCCCCAGAGGAAGAGACCCGCTTCCCTACTCTGTCCAGCGCCTGTCTCCAGCCTGGCACTCGGGGACACCTGCCGGTGTTTAAGGAGTCGAGGTTTTCATGTATCGTGGCCCAAGACCTCAGGGCGTGATACCCTCAGGCAGCCTGTCGGAAGCGAGGGTGAAGGAGGCGTGGCAGTGGCCGCTGGCCACTGGTCCTGACCCCGCTGAGCCTGTGGTCAGGCTCATGCCAAGAGGCCAGCCCAGGCCCCCGGCGTCTGCATCCCACCTTGCACCTGGGTCTCCCTCTCTCCTCCGCTCCGTGATGCCTGCCGCAGACCATGGCCCATCAGTGTCCATCCCCCACCCAGATAGGGTCCCTGCACGCCCCGAGCATGGCCGGCCCAGCATGCTTTGCTCCATCCTCTCGCTGTGCCTGGGCAGGCGCATGTCAGGAAGAGGCCAGCGAGCCTGGCCTGGGATGGGGCAGTCCCCGGGCCGGCGGGTGAGAAGGAGGCACAAAGGCCTTGCCTGAGGGACAGCTTGGAGCTGGGGGAGGCTGGCACCACGTCCGAGGGACAGGCGTGGAGGGGGCACCTGAACACCTCCTTCCACTCTGCTGGGAAAGGGTCTCCTGCCCTGTCCCCTGACCACCTCGATGGAGGGTGCGCTGGCACGGGGAGATGGAGGCACCCACGGCTGGAATGGGCAGCCTGCCAGCCCTGCCACCTCCCCTGACAGGTGGCAGGAGCCGAAGATAGGCCGGGTGATGGGCTGAAGGGTGGGCCCGGCTTCCGAGTGCTCCCAGGGAATGGGGCAGGGGCTTGGGCACCACCACCCAGGCTGTGGTTACACTGACCGCCTCAGGCCCAGCCTGACCACCCTCACAAGCAGGTCCCCTACAGGCCAGAGGCACCAGCCTCCCTGCACAAAGGACTCGGGAGAACCGCACCCCAGGTCCTAGCCACCATGCAGCCACAGACACCCAGGACGGGCTCGCTGGGAGGCTGTGGCTTGAATGAATTAGTGAAGAAGGAAAGAGGCTCCTGATTCACAAGCGTCCATCAGGGCAGGGCCCACAGCACAGACCTGTGAGGTCCCCACGCCTGGCCCTCACTGCCCGGGGTTAGGGGACACAGGCCTGGGGCAGGTCCTCTGTCCACCTCAGTCTTCATATCTCATCGGCTGGGCTGGGGGTGGGGCAGGGCCCATGGCCAGGCCCCAGGGTCAAGGACAGCTATGGAGGCTCCTCTGGTGCCTGCCCCTGGGGGCCCACACCCAGGTCCCGCTCTGGGAGCTCAGGTGCCCCAAGCGGCTGCCGCCTTTCAGCCTTTCAGCCTCCTCCCCAAGCCCTCGGGGTCATTGATGCCTCCAGGCCTTTGTGAAAGCTGTGTCCTCTGGTCAGAGAGTAGGCAGGGGGAGCGGACAGAAGAGCCCTGAGGGGTGAGGTGGGGCCTTGGGGGCGGGTGCACAGCAGGTCTGGGAGTGGCCAGGGGAGGGTGGGGAGCCAGGTGGTCAGAGGGGTCCCTCGGAAGCCCTCACTGTGCTGAGCTGGCCGGGAGCCCCGGATTCCTGAGTCCTGGGCAGGCAGGAGGTTGAGGTGGGAGAATTGCTGGAACCCAGGAGTTGGAGGTTGCAGTGAGCCAAGATGGTGGCACTGCACTCCAGCCTGGGCAGCAGGGTGAGACTCCATCTCAAAGAAGTCCTGAGCAGGAAGGGAGTGAGCTCACCCAGGCTTCCACAGGATGTGGACGGCCTGGGAGAAGGGACTGAGGAACAGGCACCGTGGCAAGGCTGTGCAAGGGCGTCAGATGTCCAGTGTCGGGTGGCAGGGTCCTGACCTCAAGGGGCTTTTGAAAAAACACAGCTCTGGGAGTGCTGTGAGCAGGGCTGGGCCCACTACAGCCTCACTGCACTCCCTGGGGTCTGGCCTGTGCCAGCTCCTCCAGGCCAGGTGGCCCTGCTCAAGGTTCCTCAGCTCTGGGGTCCCTTGGCTCGTGTATCGTCTGGCCCAGAGCTGGTTATGGGCACACCTGCAGGGTGGGGGCCAGAGTCTCAGTCCTGGGAGGGAACATGGGCACAGCTGCCAAGGGTGGAGGCTGAGCTGCACTGCTCTCTCCTAAGCCTGGGGCACCTTCTTTCTCTCTTTGCCCTGCCTGCCAGGCAGCTCAGACCAAGCCAAGGGCCCATGGGTGGTAATTCTCCTTCCCCGGGCTCTGGAATGTTTTTATTTTCTTGGCCTAAATATATCTGATGTATAAAAGCTGTGTCTGGTGGGTGCAGTGGCTCACGCCTGTAACCCCAGCACTTTGGGAGGCTGAGGCAGGCAGATCACCTGGCCAACATGGTGAAACCCCATCTCTTAAAAAAAAAAAAAAAAAAAGCTGTGTCTTCTCAGAAGCTTAAAGCTCCAGTTGGGGATGGTGGCTCATGCCTACAATCCCAGCATTTTGGGAGGCCAAGATGGGCAGATTGCTTGAGCTCAGGAGTTTGAGACCAGCCTGGGCAACACAGCAAAACCACATGTCTACAAAACATACAAAAATCGGCCGGGCGCGGTGGCTCAAGCCTGTAATCCCAGCACTTTGGGAGGCCGAGGCGGGTGGATCATGAGGTCAAGAGATGGAGACCATCCTGGTCAACATGGTAAAACCCCATCTCTACTAAAAATACAAAAAATTAGCTGGGCATGGTGGAACGTGCCTGTAATCCCAGCTACTCAGGAGGCTGAGGCAGGAGAGTTGCCTGAACCCAGGAGGCGGAGGTTGCGGTGAGCCGAGATCGCGCCATTGCACTCCAGCCTGGGTAACAAGAGCGAAACTCCGTCTCAAAAAAAAAAAAAAAAATTAGCTGGGTGTGGTGGCACTCACCTGTAGTCCCAGCTACTCAGGAGGCTGAGGAGGAAGGGGGGCATGAGCTTGGAGGCGGAGGCTGCAGTGAGCCAAGCTCACACTACCACACTCCAGCCTGGGCAACAGAGCCAGATCCTGTCTCAAGAAGAAAGCAGAAAAAGGAAAAAGCAGAGAAGCGCAAAGCTCCAACTGTCCCAAAGCCGCGCAGGGCACACTGTCCGTCCCAGCCCTGAGGCCTGGTTAGCAGGAGAGGACTCGGCTCCCACCCACCACCCCATCCCCCTCCTCAGTGCAGCCCAGCCCTGAAGAGCCACCGCCCAGATCTGCCGCGCAGGGCTGGACTGGGGGTGGGGCAGCCCTGAGCTGGGCCCCTGTGCTCCTGGGGAGCTGCTGTCTGCTGCTCTACTGGAGAAAGAAGCCCTGGTTGTCAGTCCCCGGTCAAGCCTGGGTGCCCTCTACTGCCAGAGAGCTACACCGCAGGTCCGGGGCTCCTGCCGCCTCTCCTGAGCCTGGGGCCCCACACGTGTGCCCGCTGGGCAGCGGCTCCAGGAGCTGAGGGCAGCCCGAGGCAATGGCCAAGCAATAGCGGCCTGCCGCCTTCCAGAAGTCTCCAGACCCTGAGGCCTCTCCTAGCAGGGCCAGTGGCAGGCTTATCGCCCCCATTCCAGGAATGGCTGCATGGACGAGCCCACAGCGTGCAGGGAGCCGAGGCCTCCAGCCAGGACTGGCTTGAGATGTGATGCGTGGCCAGGAGGCGGGCGATGGCTGAGGGGAGGGGCTGGGGAGAGGGCCGGCATGGCATTCAGAGCCGGGTTAGGGTGGGGTCTGGCCACTGAGGACAGACCAGGGGATGACAGCGGGGCCCTGGGAGGGAGCCAGAAGCCCACAACCTTCAGAGCAGAGCGTAGGGGACCCAGGAAAGGGGGCCAGAGGACCTGCTGGGTCTGTCAGGGGACACGGGGCCAGCAGGTGTCCAATGCTATCCCACAAATGTGACCTTGAAGGAAGGTGCCTCCAGCCCCTCGTCCGAAGGCAATGGAGACAGGCTGGGGGGCACGTGGTGGCTGGGGAGAGGCTGGACAGGGAGGCCCCAGGGAACAGGCCGTCGAGTTTCCACCTGCCCGAGCCAATGTCTGGCACTACCAGTTCTGTGAGCTCCACAGTAGCAGCGGGTCCTTTAAGATCTCCGGGCGGAGTGCCATATCTGCACCCCTCTCGGGCCTTCATGCGCCAGCCCGGCATCTTGAGTGAAGGGCCATCCTTAGGCGAAGGCTGTGGGGCTGTGGGGGGGCCTGCAGTGTCACTGTGGCAGGGTGGGGAGGTCCTGCTGCCTCTCTGTGACCCTTGGGCAGAACCATTTTGTTCTGGTGGAAGCTATGGGTCTCCCAGCAGTGAGGCGGGGGCGGGGGGGGGGGATGGGGAGGGATGGGGCGGGATGGGGTCTCTTTGAGACTCACCAGCCACTGGTTTTGGAGATTCGCCCCTTCCCCTGCCCTTGAGTGGGATGGATCAGGGAGGACTGCGGAGCCAGCAGCGGCTGGTGGACTGACCCTGCCCAGCAGGCACAGATGAGTTGGAAGCCCAGGCGAACCCAGGCCTCTGTGGAACCAGAGAGGAAGTGGGGAAGAAAGAGCCTCTGTGGAGGGAGGTGCCCGCCCTTGGACCCTTGGCTTGGTCTGAGCTAGCTGGAAGCCAGGGCAAAGAAAGAAAGAAGGTACCCCATGCTCAGCAGAGAGTGTGCAGCGGCGTTCTATGGGCAGAGGGAGGGCTCGGCCTCTACGCTTGGCATCTAGGGTGGGGGGGCACCTGCAGCCCATCCCTCTCTGCAGCCCCTACCCTCCAGGAACCAGATTAGAGGCTGGGCAGGAGTCTGGGGACCTGGGCTTCAGTCCGGAGGTGCCCATATCAATGGCCTGCAGTCCCTGCACGGCCAGGAGGGTGAGCCTCGAGAGCTAATGAGCCCTGTGTGGCTGGGGCCAGCCTCAAGTCCACAGGCACAGCCCTTGTGCAACCCTGGCAGCTTCTCAGAGGTGGCAATGTGGAAGATGGGAGTGTGTCCTGGTGCAGCAAGCCGGGATTGTTTGGGAGGGAGGACGAGCTTGACTCAAGGGAGGGCACTTGTTGGGCAGTTCTGAGGCGCTCGGCCAGGGAAGGGCTCTGCTTGATTTGCTGTGCGCCCAGGGCAGGGGCTGTCCTCGCAGCACTGAGCTGCTTCACGTGGCTTCTGACGCTCTCATCTCCTTGAACCCCAGAGATACAAGGATCACAGGGAGGGGCCCTTTTCTGGGCTAGCCAGAGCTGGCCAGGGTACTTGGGGCACACGGCCTTTGTGGGCTAGCCTGGAACTGGGCTATCCTGGACACCACACTGGCTACAGGTTGTCAGGAGCCAGGGTGGGGTACGTGGGGCTGGGGAGAGCCCTGAGAAGAGCCTATCAGCTGAAGCCTCTGACTCGACCTGTGCCCCTGGGACAATCACACGTGAGGCCACACGCACATGTGACCATGTGCGCATGCAGGTATGGTCCAGGCCCCAAGCTGTACTGCCATCTGAAGCCCCTACCTTGGCTGTGGACGCCCATTTGGCTGGGCGCGGCAAGGCGGCGGCCTTGGCACAGGGAGCCTGCCCAGCCTTGCTCTGACCCAGTTTTCCATGCCCAGGCAGGCGGGCGGCACTGGAGTGGGGGCTCCAGAGCTTCTCTTTGGTAACCCTGGTGCCCTGGGCCCAAAGCAGCTCTGTGGAGGCACCTGGCTGGCTCCATATGCCCTGGGTATGTCCTCTGAGAGGGTGGGTGCCCCTCCTTGGATGTGACCACCCAGCCCCAGTGGTGTCACACCCTGGAGACAGTGCCATGCTCCTGCCTTCTACAGGTGGTCCAGAGGGGAAGTGGGGAAGGAAGCACTTCTGTGGAGGGAGGTGCCCACTCTTGGACCCTTGGCTTGGTCTGAGCTGCCTGGAAGCCAGGACAAAGAGAGAAGTTGCCCCATGCTCGGATGAACGGACCTGTCATCTAGAGACCCATCCTTGTGGCCCTCCACTACAGACCTGCAGGCTGTTTCCCTGCCCACTCCTGGGGGCCAGTCTTGGGGGCCAGATCCTTCAGGGGTAGATTTGGAGCTGAGCCTCAGAGCCACAGGGCCGGGGCAGGCCTCAGAAGGCATCCCAGAGGAGGGAGGGTGGAAGGTCCCCACGGGCAGGGAGGCGCGGGGAGCAGAGGCTGCTGGGAGCAGGGAGGGAGCTGGGCGGGCGGAAGGGCGGCCGTGGGAAGCCAGCCCTGGCCTGGCCAGCCCGATAAGCCGCCCCTTTGATCCGCACTGAGGCAACACAGACCCCCTTCCTGAGATAACCCTGGCCCCAGGACTGAGGCTCTGGCCAGCCCGCCCTCCTGAGTGTGCCCGGCCCTGTCCTCCAGTCCTGGGCGGACTCTGGCCCTGACAGGGACTGGTCCTCGCTCAGCTGCAAGCTGGGTGGGTGCAGTCTGAGCCCAGGCCTGGTGGGCACTCCATGTGCGCCCACCCCAGGACCTGCCGGTCCTTACTGTGCCCTCAAAGCTCCCCAGCCCCGGCCTCTGTGTCCAGCTCTCTGTTCCCTCTGGTTGGGAGGGG